ATTGTTCAAGGGCAAGTGTACTTCATTTCTTTTTATGGTTAAATACTATTCCATTGTATGGATAGGCCATGTTTTATTTATTCATTCATCAGTTACTGGCTGGCTGTTGTTTTCACCTTCTAGCTATTGTGAATAATGCTGCTATGAACATTCACACACAGGTTTTTGTGTGGACATATGTTTTCATTTCTCTTGTGTACACACTGAGGAGTGGGATTGTTGGTCATATGATAATAATTATGTTTGACTGTTTGAGAAATTGTTGAACTATTTTCCAAACACGAGTGGCTCTCATGCATATTTGTATTAGTGAAAATTTGTAAATAGTGTAGATGTCAATAATAGGAGAATGCTTAGGTAAATTCCACTAATCCTCTCAGTGAATGATTTGTACAAATGCAAGTTACTTATTCAGCAGACGTTATTGCACATCTACTTCATGTCCTTTCCTGAACCAGATCAGAGGCAGTTGAGACAGGGTATTTGTTCTCAAGGAGCTTGAGCTATTAATCTATTCCAGATGATGCTTACAAATAATTTATGATGAGGGGGATGGAATTCCTATGCCATAGTGATAGGCTAGCTCCAGTAAATTTTGGAGAGACTCAAGGTATGATTTAAGTAAACATGTTACAAAGTTAAGTGGAAAAGGTAGGATAGAAAGTTTTATATACTGTATGATCATGACTAGATCAAAAAACAAAACAAAACAAAAAGAACTAAACAAAAAAAGGTGGAGGAAAAAACACACCAAAATAGGGTAGTGATTACCTTTGGGTGGTGGCATGAATGGACATTTCTGTCCTATTTAGGTGTCTTTCCTAAGTTTATTTGTAATGGAAACAAAATGTCCCCTAGTCTGTGTGTGGTGCCTGTGGGAAGGAGTGGGTGGGGAGAGTATAGCATCAAGTTTTTGAGGAGATGAGAGCACAAGAACCTGGCTGGCATCCCCGTGGGTGAAGATGGAAATACCAATGTACAGGCTACTAGCCAGGATCCCTTCCTGCGCTCTTTGTTAGCTACCACTCTTTTTTTTTTTTTTTTAATCCTCTGCCCATCTGTGACCCTACCTGGGCACCAGCAGTGCCCCATTGGGTAGTTAATAAGAATGCTTTTTAATATCTTCAGAAAAAATTGGTCTTCAAGGTTATTATTATAATTTTTTTTGAGTTGGAGTCTCACTCTCTCACCCAGACTGCAGTGCAGTGGCTGCTCCCGGCCACCACAGCCTCGACCTGCTGGGCTCCAGCGATCCTTCCACCTCAGCCTTCCAAGTAGCTGGAACTACAGACGCGCACTACCACGCCTGGCTAATTTTTTGATTTATTGTAGAGATGAGGTCACACCAAGTTGCTCAGGCAGGTCTCGAACCCGCGGGCTCGAGCAATCCACTCACCTCAGCCTCCCAAGGCGCGGGATTACAGGCTGAGCCACCAAACCCGGCTGGTCTTCAAGGTTATTAAAAGCCTTAATGATGCTTTTGTAAGAAGACAAAATTGAATTGCTAATTTATTTGCTCAAACTGTATTATTTAATCTTTCCACATATTAAAAAGTGTTCCAAGATCAGAAATGAGAAACTGCCCTAACCAGCTGATCTACTGGCCCCGACTATTTCAGAATGCTCCATTTTGGGACTGCTGTCAGTGTGGGGAATCCCATCATGGTTGGAACTAACTATAAGTGGGAGAGTGGGGGATACCATGGTTAGAGAAACAGGGATCTTAAAGTACTTTTTCTTTTTAGCACTACCTTTATGTTTTAATTGTGTGCTCAGCATTTTAACTAGTAAAAGCAGATATAATGAAAATCAATTACAATTACAAAAACAAAACCTAGTAACAATTTAACCACAGGCATTAGAAGTCCTATACCTTTGGTAGATGCAAAAATAGCTTAGAGAATTAAAATTAACCATAAATAAATTCAAGGTGGTCTTTGAGAGTATAAATCATTAATTGGTAGTGTAGTAGAGGAGAATCTGGGAGATGCTAAATCATCAGGGTCAATTTTTACTTTAAAGGCTTCAGTTTGGTTTGAGTTCTCATATTTTGTTGTTTGTAGTTTTCTCATCTCCTACCACTTGTTATAAATCAGTTTTCTCTATGCTACTGCTTGTAATAATGTGCCCCTTTCCACTTTTAATTTTTCTCTTCTGTTTTATTATAAGTGGAATAAGCTGTAACATTGCCATTCCTCTGCTTTTATATAATATGTAAATACACGTGGAAAAGTTGAAAGACTTAAATGCATTGGAGGAAGGGGTTGAAAGGGGCTCCTTTCCTGGAGAACTGAAAAATATTTAAACATCTCCAGTTCTGCCTTATATTTTATACATAACCCTTGACTATTTCTAACTTGAAAATTTTTTTTAACTTAAAAAATTTTCTAAATTAAAAAATTTTGTAAGAAGACAAAATTGAATTGCTAATTTATTTGCTCAAACTGTATTATTTAATCTTTCCACATATTAAACTTAAAAAAGATTTCTAACTTAAAAAAATTTTTTTTGTGTTGGGTCTCACTCTGTGTCCACAGGCCCAGAAAAGACTGAGAACAAGATTGCTCACGCTGGAATGGGTGTGATGTTTTGGTAGGAAAGTAAAGGACCCATTTGCCTGGAAAAAAGATTTGTGTTTGTGTGTGCGTTGTGGGGGTGGGAGGGAGGTGGAATTGGTGGTAGGGAGTTGAAGCAGAAAGAGCCAGAAGCTTTGTATGGGTTTGGCTTGGGGAGGGTTTTTAACACCAGCCTAGGGGGTTTGTCCTGGCAGACTCAATGCTGTGCACTTCTGCACAGAGAGCCACTGTGGGAAGGGTCTTTAGACATTGCTGTCTTCACCCAAGTGGAGGAATGATTGCTGTCAGGATGAGGGATCTTGGGATTCTCCAGGATGAAGCCAATACCTTGCTGAGGGTGCTGATTGTCTCCCACCCGAGTCCGAGACCTCTCCTGGGCGGCTCTGGCCTCACCCTGACATGCAGGAACCATGTTTTTTAGCCAGCAAAGCCAGAAAACACTCTTTCCAGTCAACAAAAGTCCAGTGTTCCATACCTCCAGATATTGCCCTTCTGACAATAAGAGAGGAGCCAAGATTTACTCGACTCTCCTTTGACTGGACCGAGTGCAGTGGTGTTTACAACTAATTTGATCACAAGCAGGAGCAGATTTCTTTGTTCCTTCTCCACTCCACTGCTTCACTTGACTAGCCTTAAAAAAAAAAAGATGTGGCCAAATAGATTCTGAAACTGAATATGTCCTCTGAAGTGACTTACTCATTATTTGAAGTAATGTTACCCACCAACACCTTTCCTGGGAAGAAAACATCATTTGACATTGGTACAGTTTCAAACATTCATGATAGTTCGTATATGCTGTGCAGGAGAAAACCACAAAGTCCCTGGCCCATAAATATTTTGGAATGATAATTAGGAAAATAAATCTAGACATTCTCAATGCGATTATTACAAAGTGTGCCAGAATTTGTCTCAGCAGTGATATAAGGATGGGTTTCCTGCCTGTATTGGTAGATTAAATGAGATCATGTATGCAAATGTGCTTAGAATGTACCTGTGCTCAGGTATTTTCTCTGGGCCTACTTGTGAATATTATTATGCTACAATTGGAGCAATTTACTTAGGACTCCGTCTGAGTTCAAGTAAGATTGTGTTTGCTATAGTTTGGTCCTATTCAGGCCTCTAATCACACACAGCAGCCTGCTATTGCCTGCTTGACTAGGAACTTCGCCATGTCACACCATTCCTGACTAGTAAAGGCATTGTGCTGCAGACGTCAGTATCCTGGGATGGGACAGACAGCGTGAAATTGGCTCATCTTGTGATGTGATTTTTTTTTTGAGTGCCTTGTGTTTGGGAGGACATCGGTGGCATATTTCACCTTCTATTTTTATATTGACTCCAACTTCTTAAAACCATGTGTTTAAAATGAAGGTTAAAATCAGTGTTCTGATTATGTCTATCAATTTCTAAATACTACTGGGAAAAACAGCTTATTCAACCAGTTTGGGGAACTCAATCTTCAGAATTCATACTGGTCTCATAGAGCTTGGCCATGATTGTGTCTTTCTTGGGTCCAGGGTCAAAAGAAAGGGGAGGATTGACTTAGTGAAGTTTAGGTGATTGGATTCCCATGCATGGTAGTCAATGTGCATTTATAGAGGCAGCCCAAGAGATAGCTGCCCAGACTCAGACAATTATAGGTGTGTCCCATTTTATACGACAGCTGCTGTCCTAACACTGTCTTGTCAATCAACTTCATCGTGGGATGGGGGAGGGGTAGCTGTACTTAAAGAAATCCGTCTGAAAACCCTTTATCTCTCCTGCCAAGGCTAGGTTTCCTTAATCAGATTTCCCTAAAGGAGAGACACCTGTAGACAAAATGCTTTTGTTGTTTTTCTCTAGGAAAAAAAACAAAAAAGACTCTGAAATTTCTAATTCCTACTTTATAAGGAATACAGGAAGTATTTAGTAGGGATCTCATTGTATTGTTACCTTGCTTGGCTTTTTGCATTTGGTCAGTGATTAATGTTTAATTCATTGACTTATGACCACTGGTAGATGAAAATACTACAAATGCATTTTACTTAGATTTAAAATAGTTTTCATGTGTAATGTCTGGAAACTGAAAGTTATGAAAGGAAACATTTTTCAGGGAATGAGAACAGAGCATAGGTGCTCCCCTATTGTTCTGGAAGAGCTACATTCCTTTGCCATCACCTCATTAAACATATTGCTTGGAAGAAGATGCTTGTTTTACCTGTTTTGTTAGTAACTGTGAGTATCTGTTTTCACTGGTATTTGAAGTTGCACTTTGAGTTAGTAATGCTTTTAATTGTATACAGTTATTGATTATTTTTAGGCAGAGTTGGTGAGCTAATGTTCCCGCTTGATAGTTGGTGCAAAAGCAATGAAATAAGATAAAGCAAACTTATACAAAACTGACCTGATCTTCAAATTTGTTTTTATAATTTTATTTTTCAGGATAACAAAGCCATTGACGTTTGCTGATTGTGTTGGGGATGAACTTCCTTTAGGATGGGAAACTGTATATGATAAACAAATTGGAATTTATTACATGGACCACATAAATAGTAAGTAGAGTGCCAAATTTGTGACATTATATGTGAATGGGTTTTGAGATTGAATGTCAAAGATGCTAAAGACTTTTTGTAGAGTGAAACAGTCTCAACTTTCCAATGCTCCAGTAAACCGGGATTTATAAATATAAGTTTTCATTAGCTGAGTTCTTCAAAAAGTAAAGCAGTTAAGTAGCTATACGTTGCTTGCATCTTGCTGGGGACTGCATGTACCCAAGTGGTTACCTTAACTTCATTTTGTCTTGTACATTTAACTTTAATACACCAAGACTTTTTGATTGTGTGTGTGTGTGTGTGTGTGTGTGTGTGTGTGTGTGTGTATGAAGGGAGGAAATGGTATGAAGACTATAGCAAAAACAATGGGGCTTTGACCATGCCAGCCTCCTTTGTAGAATTGTTTGGAGCAGCTGTTCTTAACCTGGGGTGATTTTACCCCCCAGGGACACTTGGTCATATCTGGAGACATTTTCAATGTCTGTCTCTTGGAGAGGTGCTGCTGGCACCCGGTGGGTGGAGACCAGGGATGCTGCTAAATATCTTACAAAGCAAAGAACAGCCCCTCCCGCAACAGAAAATGAGTGAACCCCAAATGTCAGCAGTGCCGAGGTAGAGAAACCCTGATCCTGAGGCCCCATTTTATTCTAGATCTGTTCTTTGCCCCTCAGTCTTGGCTTTCTACCTCTGCATCAGCCTTCCTTGATTGGGTCCCAGCTGGAATTCATTTCTGTCTCTCATTTTAATTCTAGTTTCCCTCAGTGTCTCTGTCATTGTCATTTTTCTACTGAGGATATGAAGAATGGCTTCCCCTTTGGTTCACTTTCTGCCTTTAGATTTGTTAAATGTGGGGAGGCTGGGGGGAGGGGAGGCCTGAAAAGACTTGATGTTCCCCACCTAGTGATTGTGCAACTCTCTCCTAGGTCGACCCTGTGGCTCCTCATGTCCCCTTAGTGTGATTGACCCAGGTTGGCATCTTCAGGGCCGATTCCTGCATTGTCAGCTGCCAGTGGGTGATCTTCTGAGTTTTTGAGTCTTCCTGTCTCAGATCTTAGGCAATGGGGTTTCTGATACCTGGCCCTCAGCCGTGGATATGATTGCAGCTATTATCCAAAGACTGGGCAATGGTGATTGGAGATGGGAAATATGTGCTGTCCTGGCTCTGCTGCCCTCCCAGGCAGGTATCCAAGTGGCAGGAGGGCTTCTAGGGGGACCCACCACCCACAGGACAGGGTAAGTGCCTGGCAGAAGAGAAGCTAGGAGGCCTCAGCCCTCCTGGCGGCCCCTCTGTTGACCCGACACATTGTAGATGTGTGTTTGGGTACATATGGCCAGCTAGGCTCTGCTTCTAAGCTGATGGCCCAGGGGGCAGCTCTGGACATGTGAGAGCCACTTGCTCCATAGGGCCACTTTGCTATGGGCCTGGGCACCATGGTTTCATTACCCGGCTTTGTCCTTCTTGGGGGCCACATGACCACATACTGGCTGGATGCTTACTGGGTGATGCAGGCATCTGTTGTACACAACCTTTCTAGAAAGTCTGTCTGCCTGCTGCTGAGACCAAGGACCCATCTGACTCGTCTCTCTCATGAACCCAACTTGCTCATCCTTCGTTGCCCCCTTCTTTGCTACTGACATTCCTTGCTTGCTCACTTGCTGAATCACAGCGTGCATTTATAGAGCACCTCTCTGCTGGCCACTCTGTTTAGGTCCTGGAAACACAGGAAAGTGAGACCCAATCTCCACCCTCCAGTGTTTGACATTCCAGAGGGCCATGAAACCTAAAGTTGAGTAGTCACCAAGTTTTCTTCCGGCCACCATGAGTGTTGCAGGGATGACCCAGGGCTGTGGGGGGAGGCAAGCGAAGGCAACAGCTCTGGGGTTACTATCCCTGCTCCACCCCAGGCCTTCAGGGAGCCAGCCTTTTGGTCGCACAGCTTTAAAACTCTTGACACACACAGAACCTAAGACGTCAAATACTGAAATTGGAACTGTGCAGGTTGACAGTAAGGTGAAGGACCAGAGGGCCTGGCTTGATACCTGTTGGGGCTCCCAAGGTCTCCCCAGGTACTGGAACAGTGTGAACAATGCTGCTGGCTCAGGGGGCCTCACAGCTGAATAAACATCAGAAACATACAGGCAACTACAAAAAGTTGTGACTCTGCCCCTGGCCCACTGAATCTGAACTCCAGGGCTAGGGCAAAACTCTCTGATTTGGGTTTTTAAAATTTTCCTCCTGTGAGCTTTTAAGGTCTAGAAAGGCTTTCGAGGAGGGACTCTGAGGTGGTGTGTGAAGGAGTGAGCAGGGGATGTCAGGAAAGAGTAGACGGGGAGGGCATTTTCAAGGGAGAACTTACCTTGAAAGTTTCTTTTTTTTGAGTTGGAGTCTCACTGTCACCCAAACTGGAGTGCAGTGGCTGCTCCCGGCCACCGCTGCCTTGACCTGCTAGGCTCTGGCGATCCTTCCGCCTCAGCCTTCCAAGTAGCTGGAACTATAGGCGCGCGCTACCACGCCCGGCTAATTTATTTATTTATTTATTGTAGAGATGAGGTCTCGCTAAGTTACCCAGGCGGGTCTCGAACCCGCAGGCTCAGGCAATTCACTCACCTCAGCCTCCCAAAGTGCGGGATGACAGGCTGAGCCACCGAGCCCTGGACCATTCTTTAACTCCCCACTGTGGGCACGATTGGCTACCCCAGTGGCTAATGGGTGCTCTGGCCACTGTGGCCAGGCCATGAAGATGGTTGAGCCATTTTTGTTGTACAAAAGAATTCACACAGGGAAAGAGACGTTACCAGAACAGACCCTCCTCTTCAGCTTCCAAATCCCCTTCACTTGTCTGAGTCTGTCCATACTCAGAATTCAAGGCTTCTATTTGCAGCAACATTTTTCACTGCAGGCTGGAACTGGCTGGTCTGCATTCCTGATCCCCCACTGTGCACACTCAGTAGGAATCGAAGGACAGGATGAGCCCTCTGGCTGCTGTGGCAGCACTGTGGGAATGGCAGAGCCATCTGCTGCACAGACATGTTTGTGCAGGGAGAGAGGGGTTACCAGTACAACAGGGCTCCTCCAGGCTTTCCCTCCCTTGCTAGAGGCTGTCTACATTCAGAATTCTGAAGTTCTATTTTTTGAGTTGGAGTCTCACTCTGTCACCACTGGAATGCAGTGGTTGCTCCCAGCCACCGCAGCCTCGACCTGCTGGGCCCCGGCAATCCTTCTGCCTCAGCCTTCCAAGTAGCTGGAACAACAGGCGCACGCAACCACAGCCTGGCTAATTTTTGATTTATTGTAGAGATGAGGTCTCGCCAAGTTGCCCAGGCAGGTCTCGAACCCGCGGGCTCAGGCAATCCAGTCACCTCAGCCTCCCAAAGCACGGGATTACAGGCTGAGCCACCCATTCTGAAGTTCTTAAAGCCTCAGAGTCTCTCAATACAGCTTTCCTCAGCTTACCTCAAACCAGAGCTGCCTGCAACAGAGAAACTTGCCCTTGGGCAAATGAAACCAGCTGGGTTGGGGTTCTTTCCTGGCCTGGGAGCTGGCTGCCCAGTGCTGCCTGCAGGGAATGAGTTCTCC